GTCTGGGGGTCACTCGTGGTGTCCGTGTTCCCGTGTGGGGCAGGGAGAGCTGGTTCGAGGCGAACCATGGGGCGGCCCTGCAATGTGTGGGGCTGGCGGCGGGGGCGGGGCCCGAGCCCGCGCTGCAGCTCAGGGTGACGGCGCTGCTCAGCCACCGGCTCTGCGTGAGTGGGGCCACCCCAAAGGGGGGGGCGGGACCCACAAGTGGGGGGCGGACCCATAAATGTGGGGTGGGATCTGTGGGATGGGACCTACAAGTTGGGAGGGGACCCACAAGTGTGGGGTGGGACTCATAAATGTGGGGTGGGATCTGTGGGATGGGATTTATGGGGCGGGACCCCCAAGTGTGGGGTGGGATCTGTGGGGTGGGACCCACAAGTGTGGGGTGGGATCTATGAGGTGGGACCCACAAGTTTGGGAGGGACCCATAAATGTGGGGCGGGATCTATGAGATGGGACCCAAAGTTGAGAGGGGGACTCACAAGTGTGGGGTGGGACCCACAAGTTTGGGGGGGACCCATAAATGTGGGGTGGGATCTGTGGGGTGGGACCCACAAGTTTGGGGGGGATCCACAAGTGTGGGGTGGGATCTGTGGGGTGGGACCCACAAGTGTGGAGTGGGACCTCCAAGTGTGGGGTGGGATCTGTGGGGCGGGACCCACAAGTTGGGGTGGGACCCACAAGTTGGGAGGGACCCATAAATGTGGGGTGGGATCTGTGGGGTGGGACCCACAAGTCGGGATCAGCCCCATAAGTGTGGGTTTGGAGCTATGGGGTGGGACCCCCAAGTGTGGGGCAGGATCTGTGGGGTGGGATCTCTGGGGCAGGGCGGGATCTGTGGGGCGGGGCCATCCCTGGCCCCTCCCCCCCACCCTCTCCCCGCCCCTCCCCCCTCAGGAGAAGCTCTCGCAGCGATTGGCCGAGCCGGGGGGGGCGGGGCTGAGCCCGGACAAGATGGCGGCCGTGATGGGCGGGCAGGTAACCCCGCCCCTTCCTCCCAGGGGGACACGCCCCCTTCCCCAGAGGCCACGCCCATCCAGTGATGAGACCACACCCCTTTTCACCAGACCACACCCCCTGTGATGAGGCCACGCCCCTTTCACCCCAGGACCACGCCCCTTATCAACAGACCACGCCCACTCTTTCCCCACAACCACACCCTCTGTGGTGAGGCCACGCCCCTTTGATCAAGGCCACGCCCCTTCATTGGACCCACCCCTCATTAATGAAGCCACGCCCCTTTCAACACGAGCCACGCCCCCCACGAGGAGACCACGCCCCTTTCACCGGAGCCACACCCCCCCTTCCAGGACACACCCTCGACAATGAGGCCACGCCCCCTGTAACGAGGCCACACCTCCATGACTAGACCACGCCCCTTTCCTTGAGACCACACCCATCCTGACAAGGGCCACTCCCCCTTTCCTTGAGGCCACGCCCAGCTTTATGATGCCACGCCCCTTTCCCTGAGAAGCCCCGCCCCCTGTGACTCGGCCCCGCCCCCCTGAGCTGTGGCTCCGCCCCCACAGATCCCGAATTTCCCGGGGCTGAGCCCCCCCGAGAACCAGCACCTGGGCGGGGCCCTGCGGAGGATCGATGACATCACCAAGGTGGGTGGGGCTTACCTGGCCCATCTCACCTGGCCCATCTCACCTGTCCCAGTCCCACCAGTCCCACCTGTCCCATCCATCCCAGTCCAACCAGTCCCACCTGTCCCAGTCCCACCTGTCCCACCTGTCCCTCCTGTCCCAGTCTCACCTGTCCCACTCCCACCAGTCCCAGTCCCACCAGTCTCACCTGTCCCATCTCACCTGTCCCAGTCCCACCTGTCCCATCTCACCTGTCCCAGTCTCACCTGTCTCACCAGTCCCACCTGTCCCACCTGTCCCAGTCTCACCTTTCCCAGTCCCACCAGTCTCACCAGTCCCACCTGTCCCACCTATATCAATCACCTGTCCCCCCTCACCTGTCTCACCTGTCCCATGTTACCTTTCCCATTCCCACCCAGTCTCACCAGTCCCATCTCACCTGTCCCACCTGTCCCAGTCTCACCAGTCCCACCTGTCCCCCCTCACCTGTCCCAGTCCCACCTGTCCCTGTCCCACCTGTCCCAGTCTCACCTGTCCCAGTCCCACCTGTCCCTGTCCCACCTGTCCCATCTCACCTGTCCCAGTCCCACCTGTCCCAGTCCCCCCAGTCCCACCTGTCCCCCCTCACCTGTCCCCTCAGGCCGCGGTGTCGGGCGGGATCCGGGTGCTGGTGGACGCGGAACAGTCTCACCTGAACCCGGCGCTCACCTGCGTCACCCTGGGGCTCATGTGGCGCCACAACCGCCAGGGGGCGCTGCCCTGGGTCTGGAACACCTACCAGGCCTACCTGCAGGTACACCTGGGCACACCTGGGGGCACCTGGGGGCACCTGGGGACACCTGGGACACACCTGGGCACACCTGGGGACACCTGGGGGGGGTGGGACACACCTGGGACACCTGGGATACACCTGGGACACACCTGGACACACCTGGGGGAGTGGGACACACCTGGGCACACCTGGGGACACCTGGGAGCACCTGGGACACACCTGGGGACACCTGGGACACACCTGGGCACACCTGGGGACACCTGGGCACACCTGGGATAGGTGGGATACACCTGGGCACACCTGGGGGCACCTGGGCACACCTGGGACACCTGGGCACACCTGGGGGAGTGGGACACACCTGGGCACACCTGGGGACACCTGGGAGCACCTGGGACACACCTGGGGACACACCTGGGGACACCTGGGCACACCTGGGGACACCTGGGCACACCTGGGATAGGTGGGATACACCTGGGCACACCTGGGGGCACCTGGGCACACCTGGGACACCTGGGCACACCTGGGGG